AACTTTCAAAAACGGTACAGACGGCTAGAGCAAACATAGTACATTCATGCCACTCCGCCGTGATACTGTATACTCGTACGATATATTTTACATCATTTCATTTTCATGTCGAAAATAATCAAACATATCAGACATTTTATGAAGTTTTGTTTTAGTCGCTTTGTTGGGTCTCGCGTGTCATAAATGAAGGTAAAGTACCACAAAAACCACCAATTACGAAAGCTTTCAAGAATTTCAATTGCTTTTCGCGACCTATCATGCATTAAATAACTAGAAAAACATTCTTAGTTCGAAAGTGACTTGGATCTCGATAAGCCTTTCTAAAAGGGAAAATGACGTCGCATTCAGGGACGCAATTTGCAATTCGGCTAGATATTGGAGACATTTGCAGCAAGGATCGACATCATTATGCAAAACCTTTAAAACATGTACACTGTATTCACTGTATATACAATGGAAGGGATTGCAGACAGGAAAACGGCTATTAACTTCTGGAAAATGACGTTCAAGAGGTCGACATTTTTATTACAGAGCCGCTTAAAATCGCAAAATCACGATATTTAATGCCGATCATCTGGGTGTTTATAATAGTTTGCGAATCCTTTGCAAGTGTTCTAAATGGATTAATGTTGCTGTTTATAGACTGAACTTCCCGCTTTTTGTCTTTTCAAGTTGGTATGTATCTCTCACTCAGTATGTTGCCACTCTTGTATGTCTTATCACAACATACAACTTCACTTGAAATATGCAAGCCCACACCGGAGTGGAATCATCATGTTTAGGAAAACATTTCCGCATGAAACCGTCAGTTTAATAAACTAATTCAACCCCAGGAAACGAAATACAAGTTTTCCGACACAAACAAAGCTAAATCAGTCTGAAAACTCTGCAGAATCGATGACAGACGTTTTGAAATGAACATGCCGCAAGTGAAATTGAACTCTGCATTATAAGCTCCATAGTCAGCTGAAATGTTCGGACACAAACTTTAGTTAAACGCAAATTAGGTGCTTTCCGACAAACATCAAACAGACTACTAAACAAACATAGAGAGCTGCGTTGTACTTCTGAATACAAGCTTAAAGCTGCAGCAACTTTAAATCGTTTTTAACTATCAAAGGTAATGTCCATGAAATGAACAATTAACCGACTTACCAATCTCGGTTTTCCATCGGGGAGAATTGCCTTCACCATAAAACTCTGCCCTTGCCCTTCGTCCATGCGAAGTATATTTAATACTCCAAGCAGTGTTTGGTCAGTCATTGATCTTGTTCGGTTTAACAGCGGGATCGTGGACGTAAATGAAAGTTTTCGCTGTCTTGTCTTGGTGCTTGCGCTGGTAGCCGCCATATTGATGCACGAATTCCCGGTCCTCCGATGGACTGCAGTCAGAACAACCGAGAAGGAAAAAGAGTCAGCCTTCCTTTACAAAACGGATCCATAAATAAATGGCCGTATTTGCATTTATGAACATTTCCAAATCTCTGACCCACTAATCGCCAGCATACTCTACATTCGCTGGTTAATTCTGTTTTGACGCGATTATTTGTCAGTCACTTGACTCAGCCGTGCGCACTGGTCCGTGAACTATGTGCAAAACAATGAGGGTCCGGTCGATTTATCAGCAATTTGATACGCCCTGAAGCTCTCTCTATTCGTGAAAATCAGAATTTGGCGTTCATAAGGAAATTACAATCAACATCCTTTAAACAAAATGTTTCGGTTTCCTGTAAAAAAAAAAAAAAAAAGCAGACACACATCCTTTGTCACTTTTCGCTTTTGAATGGGTGTGTTTCCGCCCCGGCCTATACCCACCGGGAATGAAAAATAAACTTTGGGAAAATACCGTAAAAAAAAACCTCTCTCTTTTTTCTTTTTTCCCTATGGCTGTCTTTATGTCAATTATTATTATAATTTTGCTTTCATTGCTCTCAATTGTTATATAGCATCAACAAGCAATTATTAATCTACAATAACGAAGTTCGAAAATTCCAAAATTCTTGCAAGCCTATATAATTTTGTTCGTAGGTAAGGAGACCTGAAATCTGAACAATAAAATGAGAAATATTAAAATTAAAAAATTCCTTTATTCCTAAGGTAATTCCAACAACAAAAACGACATACAAAATTTTCTTTTACTCCTTTCAGCATATAAAATGTGCCTACCGCAAAAAAGGAGAGGCGACCCGCAAATACAATCGCTGCGATTGAGTATCGTTCAGAGACGACAACTGCAAATATGATGACAAACATAAAATGATACCAATTCTAACGCTTAAAACAATATCACAAATTGACCTATACCGATAAATTGCGTTAACATTGTTATGAGGAATAATTTCACTCCTTCATCCTGTTTATCTACGATTGTTCGTTGTTTTCAAATAAAATAAATGCATGTTTGAGCCCCGCCTTGGAATGTGTTGCGTGGTCATCCGGTCCAATTATAGCCTGGCAAGCCCAGGGGTTACTGGCCCTGCTGGCCAAAAACAAACTTCGATCAATAACAAAACCTGGCCGAGAACATGAAGTCTTCTGGGCTTCGTCAGAAACAGAAAAAAAAGGAAAGAACAACCGACAGCAGAGGCACAAAAAAAGCTGCAATGGACCAAGTCAATAGGCTAAGAGCAGTCTCTTATTTTTCTTTTAAATCAAATGCAGTTTGCATAATTTTACTTTTTCACTCCCAGCGCGTGGCTCTACCGGCCAAGTGAGGAAAACACCATCAAAATTTATGAATAAAACCCTTCGCTAATTCAGTATAAGATGGAAAACGCTTAAGTAAGAGCAACTACATAGTGGCCACTTCCTATTCTCTCTAGCAGGAGAAGTTTATACGCGGTTGTGGGCTCCAGTTTCAGTCTTTTCTATTTATAGCACGTGGCATGCGTAAATAAAGGGCGTAGTCGTGGTGCGGTCGTTTTAAGATCGGTTTGTAAGGTACATTTTACTTATCAAAATTACACGTCAATTATTGACCAAAAACGCTGGTCAGAACAAATCAAGGGGAAAAATAATAACCGATAAGTTAGTTGGTTTTTCCTTTCCAAACGTAGACCAAAACAATCAAGGGAGAAATACTATTTAAAAAAGTGCGGTTCTTACGTTTCTTCTGGCTTAGCTACCTAAATTGTTTATCAGTCGTTAACTCTGGCGGATAGAAGAAGGAAAGATAAAGGATCTGTGTGAAAATAAAGAACGGGCTTCGTTTGCGTTCTAGGAGAGACTAATGCTATCATTTCCCGAGTTAAATGTCAAAACTTACCTCCATTCTCTAGGCAACAGACATGCAGAGGAATGATAAATTACACAATAACTTAAATGATGATGGTGAAACAAAAGCTGATTAACAGCTAGAAAAAGAACTCGAGATTTCTTTCGGCAGATAATTAACGAAAGGCGGGCCCTTGACTCAACTGTCATTAGGTAGCGAAATGAAAGTGAGGAGTAATACAGAAAGCTGGCATGGACTGGTGGAAACATGGAGGCGGGAATAACGCCATTTATTACCATCGCGGGCGCAAAGGAAAAGAGAAGTGATGACGTCACAGAAACTAAATTTGGGAAATTATGGTATTGGTTGGCATATCCAGAATGAAAAAGATGAAAAACGTTCACTTGCTAACAATCAGCTTCTTACTGCAAATTGGTGGGGAGATGCTCCGATGACTCCATATAAATCCTTCTAAAATGGGCCTGGATTTATTAGAATTAGATTAGACATCATGTCAGTTAGCGGTTTACCTCAGTCCATCTCAGTGCCAAATTAAAGCTTCGATGCCAAAAAAACCTAAAGTGGCGCAAGGTTTACCTAGGCAAAGGCAAAGACCAAAGGCGTCTGACCAACCAGTGACAGTATACTGACAAAGAAGCACTTACGGACATATAGCTGAATGAAATTCTCTTGCCTTGAATAATTGCTTCCCAATGAGATACGTTCGGTAAATGAACATATCACCTGTCTATATCGACGAAACCTACTTTGAGTTCGTGTAACATCGCAGAGTATTTTGCATCGAAAATAGGAGGCTAAAACTTTACGATATTTGAAAGAACGAGGACCACACAAATGATTTTCGTAATTCTAAACCGGTTCTAGAAAACACTTAACGAAGGTCTCCTTAATCGTCTCACCGAGGTTTTAAAACTCACTTAAGATCACATATGTTTATACACTGCCTTAAATCATCGCTTCGTCTCTAATGGCCGAGTCCTCGAATTGTCTTTATCCATAAAAAGGTTCTTAAGGCATGTTATGAAAATACAGGGCTAATATAAGTCATTATTTGAGCACTACAGAAAGCCAATCTGTGAAAAATAATCGCCGAGTTGAAAGATACTCCCCTCGTACAAATACCAGATCAAGTTAAGAATGTCGTGACATATACAGCTTAAGATAGCAAAGTCGCAAGTATCACTCGAAATTTCTTGTTTACTTCAATGATAATATCGATAGGAGGTGCCCTAAAGAAAACAAACTTGGTCTTTGAGGTTTTACAATAATACTGGTCAGGAATGTTAGCTAATGTTGTTGTTTTAAGTGGGTCAATCGCGTCGACTTAGACCTCAGGTAAAGTTAGTAAAAAGATGAGAGAGCGTGAACAGCATTGGTTAGAATTTCGATGGAAGATCGTCAAACCCCCGTCTTTTCCACTTGTCAGCTCAGCGGCTCTACCCTGAATTAAACCAGCGAGAGTGTTACTAAAAACGTCGTAATGCTGATTTATTTGGTAATCAGCCTAAACTTTAATAGAGGCTATATTTGGTTGAACGCTATTTTAGAAGCTACTAAGAAAATCGCAAGATTTAGAAGCAGCGTGGGCATTTTGCAAGGGAAGGTTTCAGTTCTTGTAAAGGCGTCGTCGGACTGACAAGCATTTAGAGTTGCGCTTTTTCAAACAGCACTAAGCTAAGCTGCATTCCACAGATGATCATTATTACTCAGCATATGGTTTCCATCACACAGTGTTGAAGTTTTACAAATTGTGGGATAAATGAAAATGAATGTTTTCGGCAATTCAAGGAAATGTATTCCATTTTTGTCCATAGTCATCATTGAGGTATGGTAGAGTTAGTTCCGCGGCGGGAAAAAAAAAAACAAATCTTTCCGTAAAATCAAGTTGGGTCCGAACTAACCATCTATCCGATTTACGGTGACCATGAAGGATCATAGTTTACTTGATTCCTAAGAGCGAAGCGGTTGTTTTCAAGCCTTCATTTGTTTTACTCAAACTTTTCACAATCATAGTTAGCTGAGAGCGGACAAATCTAGCCTAGTGTTACAAAATAAGTAAAAAAAAGGGCGGGGGGGACCATTACACACTGCTATATTTATGTTCACAAGAACAAACTGGTGTTTTGTATTCAGAGATCAAAATGTTGCTTTCAATGAGTGGTGAGGCTAACAAAGGTCGTAACTGCTGAGGTCACTGAAGGTCAAGCCCTTTTTTCATGTAGCTCCTGTAATCACTTCACCAGAGTTGTTTTGTTTCACTAATAAAACAAACCGACTAAATTAACTCCAGCACATCCAGTTGATTCTGTGAATTCATGGTTTTTCTCTTCCATACTGAGCAGGTAAAAAAGTGCGCTTAGTTTCATATATCTTCAGTACTCCAAAGGCACGTCCAGTTTAGCAGAAGAATGCAACCACTTCTTTTTATCCGTAGGCGAGAATGCCTTCCTTGCATCAGAGAAACTAACTGAAACTTTTGGTCTACGCAGCACATCCGACTTTTTCATTCCAATCTTATCTTATCATGGTCATGATGAACCGTTCGAGTTTAAGCCTGTCCTCTGTTCAGATGTTCGTAAAGTGATTATGGGCATACCCAACAGTAAAGTCCCAGCATATGACAAAGTGTCCGTCTCCGTCATCAAGGACTGCTTGCCTCATATCCTCCCTTTTATCGAACTACTCCTATGTTGATTACAATAAACGTTTTATTTCCTTTGCAGCAAACGAAAAAGTAGACGCTCTAAGTCAGATTGTTAACTATCTCAATGGTGTAGCAGAGTGGTGTTGTAGGTTTTCTTGTGATGATTGTAAATTAATATTGAAAATCCCAATTTGGAACATGTTAATAAACTTATTGTATTGTATTGTATTGTATTGTATAGTTGTCAGTAAAGATATAGAGTAGATTAATCATGAGTTTAGAGAAGAAGCCATCAGAAAATGGGTACACCGTGACCTGGTACCAATTCAGTTTGCAGGACTCCACAACTTGTCAACTGTAAATGAAAATTGCTTCTACAAAAAGCTCAGGATTTGGATGTCATAATTTTGTTCGATTTTCTTGATAGGCCTAGGTCTAGCCATTTATACTGAAACCGGTATTTTTTAAACCAGAACGGCATTGTTCAAGGAGCATTACAACCTGCACCTTTAATAGAGAAAATACTGGTTTGTTCTTGTAAACTGTGTTACATGACGGAAGCTAATCAGTAGAACTCATGCATTTCAGTCAGATTTTGTTTTTTGTTTTTTTCAACAAGCATGTACTCTCAAGGAATGCTTCCATAGACAGGGAAATACAAACACGACAATAGAAGGTGCTTTGCAAGAATTGCGGATAGCTATGCATTTGCAGATGTTGATATTGGAAAGACACATATTCAAACAATCTCACGCAGCTGGTTAATAATTTCAATAATTTTCAATTGGAATTTCCATTAAGAAAATAATGATTGTTTACTTTGTTATAACGACAATTTGCGGGTTTGATAACAAGGGCACTTATGCCGTGTTTGTCACAGAAGGAGACCGGTCTGATGCGACGAATTTCAATTAATTTTTTAATGCAATGCCTAGCGATGCACCAAATCCTCGCGATTAACACAGATTTTGCTGTTGTCGTTCAGTTATTCAAGATGGTCAAGAAAGTTTGCAATATTAAAATGATTAGTTCATATAATTGCCTAAAGAAAGGTCCTACAATAAAATTCCGAAAATGAGCTCCAGGGCTTATATTTTTAAAAGGTAGGACTTATCATAGAAAGGAAATTTACATTTCAAAATGGGCTTAGTTTGTAAAAGGGAGGGAAATATATAGTTATGTCAGCAATTTTCAATGTACAAATGACGAAGTAATATTGGCGCACAAAGAATGGGCACACTATTTCCAACGTCAAAACCACAAGCAATGAACTCTGTTTCTTTTAATGGGATTCCCTCAGTGGCTAATGCAGATGTCGAGGATTGTCAGGTAAGGTCTAGCCTGTTCACAGACCTTCTATTTTCTCTGGACAGCCTGGGTAAGGAAGCAACAAGGCCCACTCATCCAGACCTTAAGATAAGCTGGGAACGGCCTGCACACAAAAATAATTCCTTTCGACCCTGTGGGCCTCGTTTCATGAATCAAATATAAAAATAAGGGGAGGTAACGACCCCTGAGGCCTCTTTGACTGTACTCTGGATTTTAGTTTGTTGTTCGCATTGTATCTTATAGTGTACAAGGCACAAATGTAATAACTGGTCACAAATGTAATAAAGGTCACAATTGTAATAACATTTGGTCACAAATGTAATAAAGGTCACAAGTGTAATAACATTTGGTCACAAATGTAATAAAGGTCTCAAGTGTAATAACATTTGGTCACAAATGTAATAATTGCCAACGTAACAATTTAAAAAGTGTAACTCCGCTCTGAGACATAAATTAAAGGTAATATAATATAACTTTGAAGACTGAATTGTGCAGGGCAAAGATGACTTTCAAATCATATCTAAAAAAAGGACATTTCAGTCAAAAGGGCCTAAGAAAAACGTAAAGAACGGCGGGAAGTTGAAGAGAACCAAAAGAACTAGGGAGGGAGATAGCGAAAGGCAAAACTTGAGTGGACGGTGAAAGTCTTTTGTCCGAGCTTCGCAAGCTATTATTAAGCTTTGGGAACAGCACGACCAGCGTAATACTCGACAGGTATGCAAAGTTTCGGATAGTTTGGAACCTTTAATTTTAAGCGAGATAGAGGCCGGAGAATGCCTCAAATAGCTCTTCTTAATGGCATCAGACGGACGGCTGCGAAGGAGACCAGAATTGGTTAAGCACGATAGGTTACCCAATCTTGATTCCCACTCAGTGACATACTCGTGATATCCCCTAAGGAAAGAGTTTACCTATACAATTTCCTGTGACATTTTAACTATTCAGCTCACCTTTGATTTGATGTGATATCTTTTGAAATTTTTTAAATTTTTAAAAATTTATACTCGTGCACAGTGTGGTCTAAAAGCGTAGAAGAGAATGCCCTCTGTGGGATTTTAGATTTCGTTGTGATTTTTGTTTTAGCTTAGTTTAGATGTTTATTACAATTGTGACCAAATGTTATTACACTTGTGACCTTTATTACATTTGTGACCAGTTATTACATTTGTGCCTTCAACTTCGACAGTGCTAGTCGTTTCTCGAAAGCTTTGCTTCGTTTACAGCTGATAGCAATTGCCAGGTATAAGCCTCGGGGGCGAGATGCGAAGAGGATTCTTTTCGGAGTTTAAAGGTATATCCGGGGACGTTAGTGGTTCATTTCAGTTTGAAGCACACACAGATGAGAGTACATAGCAATTCCAAGAATTCTGTACTTGAAGCCCCAGCAAAAGGCTTATGATCATGAACTCGTTGAAAAAATACAATTTTAATTCCCAAGTAAAATAATTACATGAAATATAAAATTTGCTGATGTTGAATTTTGTAGCGTCAAATGACATGAGTCGTAGTCCTTAAGAGAGGATTGATTATTACGTAAGACGTCACAGATCGTAATCCTAATCGAGATCCTAATCGAGTTCTGGCCAGCGACTGTGGTAGTTATAATCTCTTGTAAATCGAAACGGTCCGTCTTTGCTGCGATACGGATTCTTTTTTGGTGGCGTTCAAAATCATCTTGAGTAAATTAACTGAGAGAAAGAAGAAGTAACCATGGTAACCAAAAGCCAATCAATAGGCTCCGCTGTAAACTATAAAGGATGAAGGATAGTTTGTGATGCAGGAAATTAACGTGGATTGCAAACGAAAACGTTTAAAATTTCGGCGGTTTCAATTTTCAGAAGAAACCGAAGACCTCTCATGACTGGACACCATTTCTGAGTAAAATACCTCACAGGCGATTCTTGGCAGTTTCTTGAAATGCTTATGGGAATGAATGAATGAATGAATGATGTACCAGGCAACCGTCAACGCTGAATACAGTCGACTCTCTCTTAACGGACACCTCCCTAAAACGGACACCTAGAGTTGGTCCCTGCCTTTCTTTACTCCCTTTATTTGACTCTCTACAAGACGGACATCTCTTTAAGACGGACACTTACTGCCGGTCCCAAAGGTGTCCGTCTTAGAGGGAGTTGACTGTAATGCCGGCCCAGACCACAATCTGAATCCGCTAATCAACCGGCGATAATTTTCGCAACAGAAAGATGACCGCCGTCCTTCATTGATACAATCTAATATTTTCTAACCTTAAAACAACAAGCGGCTCACCTTCATGTTGGAGCTTAGCTGTTTCGGCTGCTGTACCATTCGCTTGATGCTTTGACTTCTCAATTAATTGCAATGCTGCGAGTAAAAATGCACTGCTGTGAGTATCTTGTGATTCTTTCAAATGACACTTGCTGGAGTTGTTATCCCAATTACCTTTGTGAATTTAAGGCGATGATTTATAGTCTAAGAAAACTGCAACGACATGAGTACCAGACATTCACTTGGAGAATTCTTAAAGGAAACAGGGAGCGTAAAACTCGTTCAAAGGAGACAGATTCACTGCTGATCTCAGTAAAATACTTGCCTAGAACACTGCCGAGACAAGACTGACCTTTAAAGAAAAATTGAAACTCGCAAGCGATAATACTAATCGATCCCAAGTGACGTATGAAATACCTTAACTGAAAACGTACAATCCTGTTTGAAAAAAGATAAATTTACCAATAACTTACTGTTCTGTAGATAGCAAATTATGGCCGAGCAGGCTGGCAGAGTGATTACGGCGTCTTTCATTAAAAAGATCACTTATTTCAACTTGCCACAATTTTAACTGATTATCTTCATAAACGACTTTTCCTTAATGAATAAAAAGGTAACATGTATAAGACGTTTGGCATTTACGCGTGCCAAGAAAATGACGAGATATGATCAATATTCTCAACGAGATTAGGCAAAAACGCAATAGAAATCTTGACCTTCTGTTGAAAGAATAATATGCATTTTCTTTTTTGTCTCGTTTGTGGACATTCTTGAAAATCCTTAAGCATTATCTGCCATATTTCAATGTTAAGCCGATTACAAACCCAATGATTAAGTAATGATTAGTCAAATTATCAGCGATAGAAACACACAGCTTGCTCGAAATACTAACCGAGGGTCAGCTTTTGAGCGTGAACGGAAAGCGATGTAGACAAGATGACGTTGGAATTGTTTTGTACATATTGATTTATTAGAAGACATAAAATAACCACGTTACTCCACTTTAAGGCCAAATACACTTAAATAATATCGAGATCATTGCCTTTCAGTATTATTTTCGTTCTACGTGTGAATTTGCCGTCATTATATTTCGTGGGTACACTGTAATTTTCAGGGAGTTATAATAACTCCTCTAGTGGGGCTAATTTAACTCCTTACAGTGGAGTTATTTTTCGTGGAGTTACTTTAACTCCAAAAAGGAGTTTAAACAACTCTTTTTCAGGAGTAAAAGTGACCCCAGATATTGAAGGAGTAAAAATGACCCCAAATTCGGAGTTAAATTAGGAGTTAAAATAACCCCAAAAAAGGGGTTATCCTGTACCTAAAATTTTTACTCCATTTTTGGAGTTATAATAACTCCCTAAAAATTACGGTGTATCTGTAAAAGTATTGATCTGTTGATAATAATAACTTAGGTAGCATATCCCACCAAGTTTTCTCGAAGATTTTCCTTACCGGTGGAGGATCTCCTTTT